ATGTCATAAAACAATATGTGTACTACTGTTTCATGAGAAACTATTTGTTCTGTAAGCCTTCACCTTAAGTACAACAAAAAACAAAAATAAAAATAAAAAATAAATAAACAGAAAAAGAATTAGGGCAGTGAGGAAGTGAGGACGGAAGATCAGTAACCATACTTGCATCCCACCCTCTCTGCACCTTTTGGACACCAACTAGTTTAGAGTTCAAGTTCTGTCTTCCTTTCTCCCCTTCCTCAGGTCCCCTTTATAGCTCACTTCCATGGTCAGGGTCTCCTCAGCATTCTTTATCCCATTTATGCTTGCAGCTTTTCTAAGTTCCTTTAAGCCCTCCTCTAGTTTATTGTTGACCATCAGCCATCGAGCAGACTCCACCAGCCAACTGATCAAAAAGGAGGACACAGATGCAATCACTCTCAGTTGCTTGTTTTTCATATAACACTGTACTGAGAGTCCTTTCCACTTCCATCTACTACTCACCACTTTTTCAGATATACTGGGGAATATAACTTACCTTTGCTTGTACCGTAACTAGGAAAATGTGGAGATGACTCCCCACGCTCTCCAAGCAGTACACCTTCAGTTCTGGGACTGCAGATGTGGAGTCAAAACGTTTCCCATCTCATTCAGGTGCCAATTTACCATGAACCTTGTGAAGTTAAAGCTTGACTTCCTCTCCCAAGGCCTATATAGGGGCCTAGCAAATGGGTATTACATAATAATATGTGGTCATTTCTTAAAAGAAGTACACTTAAGATGGTTATGTACACTTAAAGTCTCACATGAAAACTGTACTCTCTCTTGCTTCTACCAGCTAGGAGGGAAACTTGCTACACAAGCAAGGTACTTACCTAAATATGCCTCAGTTTTCTCATTAATAGAATTGGGATAGTAGTGAGTGTCACTTACCACATAAGGTTCTTATGAGGACATAATGAGATAATGGATGAGCCTGATACGGAGTACACCCTTCTCTCTATTTGAATTCATCTCATTGTATTTAATCTATGATTACAGATTATCTGTCTGAGGTAGAGTCATTTCTAACTAAATAGGATTCTTCCACTAAACCAGTCTTCTTAATGAGAGGGGCATAGTTACCCATCTTAAGGCTTTTAAAATAAATTGAAGGAAGGAGGAGCACAGAAAAAGGATGTAAATCATCTAATCTGCCAGCAATTGTTAGAAGTGAAAAAACTGTGCTACTCTTTCTTCAGGTAGTTATGGAGGTAAATTTTCTGCCCCTTCCTTTCATCCAATGGCACCTATAAAAATGAAAAGCACCCAAACTTCTGCATCACATGATTATTTCCAAAACCACACATGCAAACGCAGACAATAATCGAGAGTATCACATCTTGAAATATTTGGGTTTATGTTTTTTATTAAAGAAAACAATTTTACAATATTCTATGTCCACAGCACCTGTTAAAGCTTAACAGTAAGGATGGCTCAAAAGACACAGAACTACCAGGCAGGGGATTCCTTGATACTCCCTGTTCATAAGATAGGCGGTTGTCGCAAATAACAATATGGTGTGCCCAGTTAAACTGAATTTCAAATAAATAGTGAGTACTTTTTTAGTATAAACATGTCGCATGCCGTATTTCAGACATACTTTCCCTAAAAAATTATCTGTTGTTTAATGAAATTCAAAATTATGGGAAACCTGAATTTTACCCAGCTAGCAAATAAAAATACAGAACTCCTAGTTAAATAGAATTTTCATAGAAATAATGCATACTTTTTAGTATCACTACATCCTGTGCAATATTTAGATACTGCTATAAAAAAATAATATTGTTTATATATAACTCAAATTTAACTGATTTTCCTCATATTATCTGCCAACCATACCTGTTCTGCTTTTCAAACTGCACACAGGGCACAGGTTAGGAGAGCATGTGCTCAAATCTTGACCAAAGACTAAGAGAAATCCATGTGTCCTGATTATATGTACATTAGCCCAGGATCCTCTAAGACAAAGGAAGAGAGAAAACTCATACCCTGAGGACAGAAAGAGGACAAGTAATGGCACAGACACCACCAGCTGGAGTGTGTGCCACTCTCGAATGGTAAAAGCCAGTCCTCCCAGCATTATCTGTCCAAAACTAGAGCAACTGGATACCAGTGTCACTGCCATGGCTTGGCAGTGGGGCATTGACCATTCTATCACTGAAAGGAAAGAGAAACAGGATTTTTGCTTCAAATAAGTTGGAATTTCTGGTGAAGTTGAAATTTCTGGTAAAGTCAAGAGTTGGAAAATGTAGAAGATCTAGAAGTGTTGACTTACTGAGCATGCCAGTATTTGTAAAGATGGTCATGGCAGAAAATCCTGCCAAGAAGTGTAGAGAGCAGTAAATGAGGAAGGTGGGAGCAAAGGCTGCACGGTTTTCAGCAATAGCAAATTGGAGGAAACACCATCTGAGAATCAATCTCCTCCCAAACCTGGGAAACAGAGAGCCAAGCGAGATTACGGTACAATAATAACCTGGGGTGAAACTGAATGAAAGAAGTCACACTTTGAAACTTAGGAGATGTTTTATCAAGTGGAACTTCGCACTTGTTGCCTTGAAGAAGCAACAGAGAAATTGGCCATAGATACTCTCAGAAGCAATATTCCCTGAATTAATTGAATATGGAGTACATTAAAGCTTCTTCTCCTCTTACCAGTAAGTCTTTGATACCAATTGAAACCATACATGACAGATGTGATATTGGAATATTAACATGTTATAAATGGCCATTGTACTAACGCATATTGTAGAGTCTTTAGAGTGTCTGGAACACAAGAAAGCTAAACCTGTACTTAGACCTCCTGGACCATGCATCCCAAGGCTAACTCACATGAAAGGCTAACTCACTGTGGAGCCATACATCAAAGACTGGTTGCATAAGACTCCTCTCTGCTGGGTCAGGGTTTATTGGCCTTTGACAAAATGCTTCTACTTGAACAGGACAGAAGAGATGCAAGAGGAAGAGGCAGAAAGGAAATCCTCAAACTCTACCTACTTCACAAAGATCTGAACTGAGATCAGACCTGCCACATAAAGATACAGAGTTTGCAATTCAATCCCAGGTATGGCAATTACTTGCTAAAGTGAAGGAATTAGTATCATTGGAAAATAATAATAGAATCCATAATCTCTACAACATAACATTTATGATATTTAGGATATAATTCAAAATTATGTGATATATGAAGAGCCAAGAATACGGAGCCCATTACCAAGAGAAAGGAAATTCCTCAAATCTTTTCCTGAGGTGAAATAAAATTTGGAAATAAACAAGGATTTTAAGGTGGTAATATAATTATCTTCAAAGTAGTATATAAAACATGATTTTTAATGTATGAACATCACAACTGAGAAATAGGAAGTCTTAGTAGGGAGATAGATATAGACAAACCAAACAATTGAAATCCTAGAACGGAAAAAACAAGATTTCTGATACAAAAATTCACTGGATGGATTTATTCACATGGACATAAAAGGGAGAATAAGTGAACTTGAGGATAGATCAAGAGAAATTATACAAATTAGAAACAGAGAGAAACAATGACTTAAAAAATTTAATGGAGAGCCTCAGAGTGCTATTGGACCAGTGAGTTGCCAATATTTTCTGTAAAGGTCCAGATAGTAACTATGTTAGGTTTTGTGGGATACATGCAGTCTCTTTCACATGTTCTTATTTGTTTTGGTTCTTGTTTTTTTGTTTTTTGTTTGTTTGGTTGTTTGTTTTTAAACTACCCTATAAAAACAAAAATAAAAACACCTTGCAATCTCGTGGGTCATACAAATATAGGCTAGAGGTTGGATTTGGGCAGTGCGCTGTAGTTTGCTTACCACTTTGTTAGATGATATCACACAGTCAATTGTACACAGAAATGAAATAACAGGGCAAAAAAGAGACAGGAGGACAAACATTTTTAAAGATACTGTGATGGTTAAGACGGTGTGTCAACTTGGCTGGGCCATGATTCTCAGTGTTTTGGCAGTTGTATAATGTTGTGATTGCTTCCCTGTTGAAATTTGATATGTGATCACCCCCATGATGGAATCTGCTGAATGGTACCAGTGGCGGCGGGGCCTGTGGCAGATCACCGCCCCCTCAGCCCTCATCTCTCCACCCTCTGACACCTACTTCCTTCCTACTTGCCTTGCCAAGGTTTTTGGCTGTTCTGGATCCTGCAGCTGCCTCTTATTTGTCTGACCTCTGGTTCGTGGGACTCGAGCTAGCAGTTTACCTGCTGATCTTGAGATTCATTGATCTTCACAGCCTGTGAGCAAGATTCCTGTTCTCCAGCCTGCCAATCTTGGGTTTGCCAGTCCCCACAGGTAAATGAATTAGGAGAAGCCTTGCTGTCTTGCCTGCCAGTCTTGGGATTCGTCAACCTTCACAGCCTGTGAGCAAGAGCCCTGCTCTCTGGCCTGCCGATCTTGAGTTCGTCAGCCCCTGAGGCTACGTGAATTGGGACGTTCCAGCCTCTACAATCGCGTGAGCTGTTTCCTTGATATAAATCTC